CAACTGCAGGCTGCAGCCCATATATATGTAACGAAATATACAGTGATATCCATACAACGGAGGAACTTAAAGATGACTTTTAGAGGTAAGCTTTTACATATTTCAATAATCATGAAACAGAGGAATTGTGCAGGGTTACACAGACCTATTTCACTAAATAAGTTTATTTTTAAGCAACTGTCAAAACTATTTGCTTTCTAACAACATCAAATAGTAAAAAGATTGCTTGAATGTCGTCTTCCTATTCCGCAGTTTTATGAATCCCACTGTAATATCAATAGGGGCGTTAGGACGCTTTTATTTAATGTTTTAGCTTTTCAACGTTATTTTGACGACAACAATTTTTTAAACAAATTATTATTTTAAATTTTTAATCTTAAAAATTGGATACAGTTGATACAGACAAATTCTGATTTGAGATTTCTTCTTGTCATCGTTTCTCTCCTTCATTTTTCTCTTCCTTCTGTTAGCTGTTCCTGATTTTGATAATTTTGAAAAGAAATAAAAATTTGTCGAAACCAGTATTTTTGGGGACACTCTGCTCAATTGTAATTGTATGTTCTCATTCAGCCGTCTTACACCGACAACAAGAATTTTTATTGATTAAGTATTATAAACTTTAAACAACTTTTAAACCTTTTATATAAAATCAATTGAGTAATATCCATCGAGGTTATAGTGTATAAACTATAATAGAGTGATGATGTACGCTAATATCCAACGAGGTTATAGTGTATAAACTATAGAGTGATGATGTACGCTAATATCCAACGAGGTTATAGTGTATAAACTATAGAGTGATGATGTACGCTAATATCCAACGAGGTTATAGTGTATAAACTATAGAGTGATGATGTACGCTAATCCTTTACTAATTGTATAGGCCATAAACTATACCGAGAGCGTACTGCATATTTGTTTATTATAAGGAGATTCTGGCCCAACCTATAGTATATCAATATTAGTAAACAGTTGTAAGTGTACAGACAGCCAACTGAGCACACAGATAGAGAACTATCATCCCCCCTGGTAATATCCAATAATCATTTTATATGAAAATGAAAATGATCATGATAATGGTTAAATAGATGCAGCCTGCAGCTATGAAATGTTGCGTCTATATTCAAGATAGGGTCAACTTTGAAGTGTCGCAAAGCCTTTGGTTTTAATTTGACCGCTTTAACTCACTTATATTTTTTTGTAGCCCTTAACATGCACACAGCACACTTTAAAACTTTTAAATCCCTTGTTTACAGCTTTCGTCTTTAAGAAGTAATTGGAATAATTCTCATCGATTTTGGCGCGATAGCTTGAAGCATATTAATTACTTAAACTAATAATCTAATGAACAGCTAGATGGATACCACTATAAAAGGTTATCCAAACCCAAAGAAACTAAATAGAAGACTAAATAAAAATGAAGTGAATAGTGAAAAAATATATATAAAATAAAAATATATATAAAATACAAATTATATATTTCATTTCCTAGAAAGTCTAGTTTTAGCGAAAGAACTATTAATATTTGGCTCACGTTAACCCAGCTCTAAAGAAATCCGAACAATATTGAGAAGATATTAAAATATTGGAAGAGTATGGTGGAAAAATAAATGACAAAATCATACAATTTCCCTTCTAGGATCTTAACATTTTAGTCACACCGTCGATCTACCATCCTTCCCCCCCTTCCACATTTTAGCACGACCCCCCCCCCCCAACCCGGCCCGTTATCAAAATTTAAACCAAATTAACCCCTCCCCTCAGCCCGTCCCTCTCTGCCTCTGTTACCCCGAATCATTCATTTCACGCATATTTCCTCATCATCCCTCCCCTTGATTTGTGCTACGGTTTCCAACGCAAGTGTATTTTACTTGTGTGCCATTAGCGCGAGCACTGTAATTCCGCGAAATTCCGCACATTTCTGCACAATTCGAGCACAATGCCCCGCTATTCCCACTTCCCAGCACTTATCTCTAATTTCATGCACAGTTAGCAAAATTGTCAAATGTGCATTGAACATTACAACTCAAAAAGACAAAAACAAAAAGCTGAAAGATCAAGATTGCAAAGTTTAAAAATAAAGAACATATTAAGTATAAATTTAATAAAGCCGCTCGCTCATATTTATACATAAATGATATATTTTTATATAAGTTTGCCATCAATCGCGATATAGCCGGCCAAACGGCTGTAGACTAAAGAAATTAAGTCTTTGTCACAAACTCTGAATTTATATTTCCTATATCTTTGGAACCCAATGTTGTAAAACTTTGATATTTCAAACTTATATTATTTGATCTAACAGAATTCATAGTTTGAAATATCTAAGGTATACGATTTTGCAATCCAAAGATACAGGGTTTGTGGCAAAGACTCAATTCCTTTATTGAGATTTTGACAAAGGCTAAACAAAAAGAAAATTGATTACCGTCCACGGGCAACGCCAGGCACTTTCGCTAAAAATATGATTTAATACTAGAAGCGTCTGGGTAAACGGGAGAGTAATATTATAAACCTGGGCAACGTCGGGCATTCCGGATAGTATATCTATATACTTATATATACTTTATCTGTCTGTTTGTTCCAATAAGCGTCAAAACGGCTAAACCTCTACCAGTCCCAAACTTTATGTGGAACCCCAGGGAAGTTTTATGGATGATCAAAATTTTAAAATTTGATTTTCATTAAATTTTTTTTTAAATCCACAAAATATTCTTATAAAATCCGCGACCTTTCTGTATTTTTGTTTTACGAAGAGAAAATGTTCACAATTGAAACAGAATTCGTAACTTTTTCACTCGTAAATCTTAAAATCCCCCCAAACCAAACCAAACCAGGACATTTTTCCATCTAGAAGCATCCTCCCCTCAACTAGCAAGAAAGGTTAAGTCTCCTTCAACAATTCCTAAAAATTAAATAAATAATAAATTCCATGTATGAAATTAAAGAGGGGGGGGGGAAATTGTTGCCAGAAGTGGGAATAAAAAAATTCGGCTCGCAATAATTTAAATCCCCCCTTCTTCTCTCCTAGACAATAGCATGACGCCGTCTCTGTTTTTAATTGATAGTTTTCTTAAATGAGAATATGTACAACTAGCTTGGGAACCCAGCGCTGCCAAGGTTACAAAAAGTTATTCCCTCCGTTTACCCGCACTTGAACGATTTTACCGCGATTAAAATTAAATTAAAATTAAAGTGGCCGAATTTAAAGAATTTGAGCCGCGGTTTAAATCCGCCAAAACCCGGGTTGAATTAAATGGCGACTTAAATCTTGAAACATTTGATAAAATTTTAAGTGGAATCAACCATATTTAAGCCGCGGCTTAAATTTAAACCGCCGCTCAGATTCTTTAAATTCGGCCACTGAAAACAGTAAATTCAAAAATGTGGAAAAGAAGACGACATTAATTCCGCTACTTGATTACCACAGTATTCAGAATTTACATCATTGCTTTCTGCAAGGATGTACTCTGTATATCGTCATGATATTACCATTCCTTTGTGATTTTAGCCACATTATACCACATTGAATCTTTTCGTAAATGTCGTCATTGTCAAAGTCCAAATTTTTCTATTTATACACATTTATATACATACGACATTTTTCATCTTGAAAGATATAAATGTACAGAGATGTTTTAAAGATATTCCTGTTACATAGATTAACTAATAGGTCGGTTGTGAACATTGGCTGTTATATGTCATTGCGTACTTGTGGTGTACATGAGTTCTGTAGAGAGAAATTTAAGTTAGTTTAGTTCTTCTCATGTCCTTCTTCAGTTCTCGTCAATATGATATATTGCTCAGTGAAATAAAATTCACTCCTGAGTAGTTTAATAATTATGAAATCCATTAAAACACCAAACCACTCCGCTTATCATTGAAGTACACTTTGACCCCTAGAAGTATGAGTTCGCGGACTGTACAATTCTTGGTGATTTTGTGTACATAAGCCATCTATGTTTATTTATTTATCTATGATTTTGGCGTACAATAAATGTTTTTGTAAACAGTGATAGGAAGACGACAAACGTTAAGACTTTAAATAGTCCAATAAACATGAGACACGGCAATTGTTTAGTGTAAACAGACCATATAAACTTAAATAATTATTTTCAAGTAACGCTTTTTCCTTTGTAACACATCAAATATACAGAAGTATTGTTACTTATAATGTCGTCTTCCAAATAAACAGTTTTCTGGTTATCAATGTATAATTTTCATGAGCGTTTGAAAAATATTAATTCAAAAATGGATGTTTGTTTAAAGATTACAACTTCTATTAATTACTATATCTCAAAGATCAAGAAGTTAGTCGATAAAGGGAGATTTTTGTATAGAAAAAAACTAGAGTTGTTAAGTGGGCGCCATACCCCCCCCCTGACTTCTTAAGTTTTAAAAAGGGTAACAAAACGTTAAAGACCCCAAAGTTTCCAAGGACGAAACGCCCAGTGTTACAAAACGTAAAAAAGTCCAAGTACGTATATTGTACAATGCACTCCGAACTATGAAACACAACAGATCGAAGTAGAATCAAATTTGATTACTTAAAACCGTTTTTTATATTCTTTTTATCAAGATTCTAAAGGGAATCAAGTTTAAAAGACATTCCCAGAATTTGCGTGGGACCTTAGGTCTTACAGAAAAGGACAAAAGGTATAAAAACTACAAATTCTTTGAGTTTTATCATATTTAAGAGACTGTTCACGAAATGATATATTAAATAAACGTAAAATAAGAGACAGCATATACATATTATCTATATAGACAGTATAGGAGAAGTTTAAATTACTGGCACGACATTGAGTCTTCGTAGCTCCTTCAGTTGTTTTGTTCTTCTGAATATCTCTTCAATTAGAGGAGTTATGCGGATTAAGATTGACAACAATTAAGATACCAATCTTTCGTCTTTAAAATGTACATTCAAAATTATCCAAATATCTGTTAATATAGTTCAACATTTTTTTTTTGACGATTAACAGATATATTTTGTACAAATAATATATTTCAACATTAAAAAAACATTATTGGACAATAGACATTTAAAAAAAAAAAATAATGAAATGCCGCACCGAAATAATTGTAATCTAATTTGTCCCCTTTATAAAAACACAATTTGTTTCTTTGTTTACAATTTGTGTTTTCAATTTTACCATGTACGAAGCACCCTATCAGAGATAAGAAAAAGAGATATAGCTTCTTACAAAGTGTTTGATTGGTCAAACTGTTCTTGGTTAATTTGTAACTTGTTACGTTATGGGTTCTTCTAAAAAAATTTAAAATCATGCATTCATTTTGAAAACTTTCTTTTAGGACCATTTCGGAAGTATCCTAGGGTATATCAGATTTGCCTAATTCCGATATCTTTGCAACCCGATATTGTAGGCCTTTAATATTTCAAGCTATGAATTCTATAAGATCAAATAATCCAAGTTTGAAATATCAGAGGTTTTCACCAGCAGGTTGGAAAGATTTAGGAAATAGAAAAGTTTGTGACAAAACTCAATTCCTTTCATAATATTTTATAAAGAGCTTTTATGTATTATATAACATTTATCTATATAATGTTTTACAATTGCACAACTAATCAGATTAAAAAATCATATTTGCCTAAAAGTAAATGAAAATATTACATTTGTTATAAAATACATTAAAAAGTATGGAGCATGTTTGAGAGCAGAGTTACATCCGTCCATATCATCGCATCCTTGTACACATCCTCGTACATATCTAAATATTATCAAGTTATGTACTGATTACATCCGTACATGTAGCAAAACTTGGGGCCCATGTAATATATACGTCGTCATTCATTGACATAATAACTATGCAAATTCTGTAATGCAATTAACCCATTCCATGTTAATAGATAGATATAACTTCGTCACGCCTATTAATGTGATTTTATAATATTTCTATCATTGTCTTTGGTATCAAAAAACTTAAAAAATTAAGGAAGTAGATATTCTAAGCTATTCACCAACTGTCATGTTTCTTAGGACACCCTTTATATTTATCCTATCCTGCGGACTGAGGAGTATCTAGATATCCAAATCAGGTATATTTATCCTATTCTAAGGAGAACCCAGATTCGTTCATGGCTGGACAAACTCCAAAAATTTTATCCAAATACAAAGGTTGTCCAATCTATAAAATAGCATCATTTGTATATTATTTACTAACTACAAAAGTTTTTTAATACAGAAGACGACATTTGAAAACATCAGAAAATGTAATTTTGTTTACAAGTTTAATGCAGTAATAAGCAGAAAAAACGAAATTCACCGTTTAAAAAAATCCGTTTGATTTTCTTTTTCAACCATTAATTTTTTTTCATAACGGCTAATCCGTTTTGTTAACGATTTTAAAATTAACAGTTTTTTTAATCAGAAATGCCAATCTAAAAGAAGTTACGTATGCAGTTCCTTTAATCAATTTTAATCTGGTGTCGTCCTACATTTATAATTAGTCCCAGTTCACGAACTAATAAGTCACATCCATTTCTGGCACCGTGTTCAGATTAAAAGGTTAATATATTAGTATCTGCAGCAGTTTTGTAGAAATATGGCAGACAAATGAAACATAGATTTAAATTGTAAAAGATTGTATGATATTTTAAGAAATACCCGTAGAAGAAATATGGAGGATTTCATTTTTAAATAAACTAATTTCTGCCAAAAAAATATTGTTATTGGTGGATTTGACCAAGCTAAGTTTGACAATATTATTATTTTTGTATGCACCACCTAATATTATAAATTTGTATTGATTTTTCCTCATTATAATTTTGTTTCTTGTATTTGAATTTATTCTTATATTTGCTCATTTTAAATGTTTTGTCTGAATAATTGTAACAATTATTTAAATTGTTATACGTTTACAAAATAAATAATTTAATTAATTTATAACCTTTGCACTGAAAATCTATTTTCATTTTGGATTATTGTATCGTGTTTAAGTTAAATCTCCAATTGGATTTTCAAAGTAAAAATCTGTATTGCAAAACTATAAATACTAAGGAATAACTTTTTTTAATTCAACTTTTCATAAAAAAAAAACCATGTGCTTGCGCCTTCCTAATTAAACATCTATAAATTCTAAAATCTTGTTTTTAAATCTGCCCTTTTTAACCGCCCTCAACTTTCCATGTCCAAAGGGAAATCAGTAAAATTAGAAAGGTTGATAGAGATATAAAACAAATGTTAAAAATAAAACCTAATAAAACACAGACAGGATTCAGTCAGCAAACACTAGGGTTTTCATCAAACAAAACTAGATAACAGAAATAATGCATTCTTTAAAATTTATTTATGCTTCTTCCCCCTTTCAAGCCAACCCCTATTAATTTACACCTCGTTTTGGTTCCTTTTTTACATCATTTTTCTGTAGTTTTGTATTTATGTAAGTTTTTAAAGAATATTGCTCGGTAAAAACTTTTTTTTAGAAAACGACCCAAATTACTGTTTGTTACTACATATAGAAGTATCAAATGCCCACGTCTCGAAGTTTTTTTTTTGGGGGGGGGGCTTACGGTGATATCTCCGATATTTAATCGTCAAATCGCAACCGTATGGACGATTTTGAAATTTTTTTTTGCTTGCAATGTTTTTTTACGTGAATACGCATCAACCCTATAGGTGGGCGGTTGGTTTAATTCCAGTATTAATCACCCTTACTGTACATGTAATTTCGAGTGACCCTCCATGCAAAGATGCCAATTCCAGCTGTGCCCTTAAAAGCTTTGTCTGACGCATTTCTTGTTTCTAAGAAGCAATGGAAAAACTCACTTTTCGAGAAAACTATGGTACAGGGTGTCCCACGAAACATGACAATAGCAAGACGACTTGAAAGTCGTCTTTGGTATTTGAATTTATTTGTGACATTTAGTCTTCTATCTACTTTAACATGTATGATTCTTGAAACGGTTATCACATAATTCTCCTAGCCCTGGCATTTCCAAAAAGTGGTCTGCGTTTTTTGTGCTTTCAATATTACCGGAGATATAAAGAGTTTGGTTCAGATTTCAATTTTGTTAAATAAAAGCAAAATTGTCGAAATCTGAACGAAATTCTTCATATCTCGGGCAATATTGAAAGCACCAAAAAGGCAGACCACATTTTGAAATGGCAGGACAAGGGAAATTTTGTGATTATTATCTCTAGAAATTTACTTCTAAAATTAGGTTGACAAATAAACGCAGCAAATTATATCAAAAATCAAGACGACATTCAAGTCGTCCTGCATACTGTCATGTTTCGTGGGACACCCTGTATCTTCCACATATTTGATCAGATTAAGGTTTCAAGGATACCGTTGTTAATAAGACATTAGACAGTGCCCTCTTGGCAGTGAGGGACACTTGAATTTACACTTAAAGTAATAAAATCAGCGTGAACTATACCTTCCGTCCAGATAGAAAGATCCACAGTGTGAGACTCTAACTATCTCAGTGTCTGAAGTTAAAGATCCTGAATCTAATCCACAGCCTCGGATCACCAGACGATTACCGTTTTCATCTTCAAATTGAACAGTTACCCTCTTGATTATTTAGTTTATTACAAACATTGAGTAGAAAACTATTGTAACCAGTGCGAGCTTAATAGCTCGGAATAGGGATAGTTCCTTTGATGCAACCCCTTCAGTTATCATACGAACCCAAAGCTAAGTTCAGATTGGATAGTTCTATTGATGTAACCCCTTCAGTCCTCATACGAACCCAAAGCTAAGCTCGGATTGCAAGTAGTCTGTCCTATAAGCATGACTACTTGTTAGCTCTCTTGTTTTTAGCTTATGGTCGGACAGGAAGTGGGGCGGATGATAAGTCGCCTCATGTATATTCAGTTTCAGGCTTTACATTTTCTTTACTTTCGACCAGTTTTAAATGGGGGGGGGGGTATTTTTCACACAGTTGGTTTTAAGTGGCTTCACTTTTCTTTTTTCAAAACCGAAGTTTATCTCAATTTAAAGAATAGAACCAGGGTTAAAACATTGCTGTCTTTTAAGTTGTTTTCCGTCTATTCATATAATAAAATAAAATAAAGTAGGTTACGCCTAAAGGATGAGACTGTAAGGACGACTTGGAACTCTTAAGATTTGACGATCAGAAAGTTAAATTCTTTTTATTACTTATCTAATGATTACTTTTAATTACTTATCCAATGATTTGTGAAAGCAAGATACAAGCTTATAACCAATTAGGGAATCATAAATATATTAATAAACATATAATTGTGTATGCTTGGATTTTGTTTACAAGGCATAAAATCGATCGAAAAATTTTACAAACTTTAAAAATATTTTTTAAATTACCAACTACTCCGTTGAGCTTGATGCAAGAGGAGGCAGGAAAAAGACCATTTCTAAAAATTAAATATTTTTTCAAAAAGTTTTTATTTATTTGTAATTTTTATTTGGTTACTAAATATACGATTTAAGTTTCCATTTGTGTCTTTCTTTCAAAATTCTTTTTCAGCAATTCAATTTCTTATTTAAACAAAATTTCGGAGTATTATTTCCCTGTTGAGTTTTTCCCCATTGTTTGATTTTTTCTCTTTTATTCAATTTTTTCATGCTGTTGTTAACGTTGTTGTTGTTGTTGTTAACGTTGTTGTTTTTGTTAATACTGTTGTTGTTGTCGTTGTCGTTGTTATTGTTGTTGTTGTTGTTGTTGTTGTTGTTGTTGTTGTTGTTGTTGTGGTTATTGTTGTTGTTGTTGTTGTTGTTGTTGATGATGTTGTTGTTGTGGTTATTGTTGTTGTTGTTGTGGTTATTGTTGTTATTGTTGTTGTTGTAGTTGTTGTTGTTGATGATGTTGTTGTTGTTGTGGTTATTGTTGTTGTTGTTGGGGTTGGGGTTATTGTTGTTGTTGTTGTTGATGATGTTTACGTTGTTGTTGTTTACCTGTCCTTTCTACCTGCCCAGCAAGGATCCTGGTATAGGATTTCTAAAAAAAAGATAAGAGTATACAGTGAGAACCAGAAAGCGATGGAATTATTGTCATCTTCCTTTTCTTTCCATCAGAAAATTTAACTTCATAATTTAAAACTAAATTATTTATTACATTGTGCCCTAAACAATTGTAGAAATAAATCAGTTGCAAATTACTAAATTACAAAGACAAGAACAAAAAGTTATTCATTGCACAGAATTTTCAATAAAGGCATATTCTTAAAATATACAGAAACGAACAGTTTTTTTCTTTCACAAATTCTGTTCAATGTGCAGTAAAAAAGCTTAATGTCTATCTATCTTTAATAAACTTTGCGTGTATTGTTGTCTATCCGTTTGTATCTGATAAACTTCAAAACGGCTGAACCGATCGGGCCTCACATTCTATTTACTGCGCTACTTCACCTTTTCATAATATTTGATGAATATTGAGTTATTAAAAAGGTACAATAAAATAAGTACTAACAAAAAAATCTGTTCTATATCTGTATTTGATTATTCTTCATTCCGTATTTTCAAGAGATGAAGTAACAAAATATTTTTTTTTCTATTTTTGTCAATATCTCTCAATAAAGCCGGAAGGGAAAATATTTTTATTATTTTACATCCAATACGTAAATAATATAAACCTATCTAATATGTTTTCAATTTTGTAAAAATAGCGTCAACAAAAAAGGGGGTTGGGTCAATCATATTTGTTCTTTAAAAAATCCACTTTTTACTTTCATACTTATCAGTGGTACGACTTTGTGACCTCCTAGCTCCGCTAGATTTGACTTTTCGCACAAATATGAAAAATGCACATTTAGTTGTTGACATAGAATTCCAAATAGTTTAGCTCTTCTTAATAGCTCTTCAATAATAGGAGTTAAAATGGAAAAAGTTTGTATGGTGCCTAAGCATTTAATCTTAAAAAAACATTGATTTCTTGTTGGTTTCCACGAAACAGTAGATTCTATTGAGCAACAGTTTCTCTGAAAAAGACGAGGATGTATCCAAATAATGTGCTAACCTGAAGAGTTAAATGGAAAATATTGAAAAGTATCCTCACAGCTCGGATTAGAACCATTCTCACTGGAACATTTAAAACAGCCAATCCCAGTCACACCTATACAAAACAGGACTTAAAGGGAACCCCTCAATTTATGAGTTGAATGACTGATTCACAACGGTACCATTTAAACCTTTATCCCAGCAACTGACTTAACCTTAACTCACCTGAAACGTGTTAAATTATGTTATATTTCTTCTTTATCTGTTACATAAACCCAAAAGTCACTTTTGACGAGAAACCACAATTTAAGTTCATCAGTTTTTAGACAGAAAAACAAAACAACTTGTAAATTTTCCTCAGACGAAGGTGTAAAGGGTATCATTGTGAATCGGTAAATTTAAATAATAATGACTGCCCTTGCAAATTGAGGTTGTTTAACTATTTGAAAAAAAAATTAAAATTAAAATATTTTCATATTTTCATTATTATTCAAATTATTATTCAAAGATGAGAAGCTATAAATGGTCAAATACTTTTTGTCAATGTTACATTGTTGTTCAATTGCGAACCTTATACACATAACGCAATTGACTTTTGACAAATATGAAAAATTTATTTTTTCTTCCCTCCTTTTCTTGCATGTGTTCTTTATTCTAGAAATTATGTAATTATGAGTATTTTGTTTAAGAAATATTGTTTTATAATCATTTTTAATAATCAGGAGATATTAAAGAATGACTCTTAATTCAAATGCCCTTCAACCTTACCTGTTAAATACTTAGATATCAATATCCAAGAAACCAGATAATTTTGCATTTTTTCTAAAATTTTTCTTTTATTTTTAAGTATTTTTTTAAAGAAAGGACTTAATCTTCAAACAGTCGTGTAGGCCGGGAGTATATTATTATATATATTTTAAATAGATAGGAATAGATATAATTCAGATAATAATGTGGATTTGCAAAGCATGGTAAAAATATGCTAAAAAAATTGTAAATATTATTTTTACTTTTAACAAACGTCATGAGACACATGTTATATCATCCATTTTCTAGTGCTTAAAAACTACTTACATTTAAAGGATAAATGTTCTTTACTTGTTCAACTTCATAGTTGTGAAAAAAAATTTTGCGAAATTTTTTTTAATTTTTGATGCATAGGGTAGGGAGGAGGAAGACTAACGGCGGGTTGGTGTTTCAAAAAATTCAGAAATGGTTAATAACTTTTTGATAAATTAAACCACAGGGCTAAAATTTACATTTTTTAATGCCTGTTTTAAGTCTAAAAACCTTAAAATTTTATCAAATCAATAGAAAGTAATTATTGTCCATTACTATCTCCTGTGTAGATTACTATATTTCTAGATTTGTGTGTATTGAATGTAATTCATCTACTGGTAATGATGTACACAGCAGTAGCCAGTAACTCATTATATAAACATCCTAAAGGAAATACAAATCAAATAAAGCAAAATAGATACAACTCAAAAACAGAATGTGAAAAAAATTAAAATTTGCAAAAATACCAAAATGTGCTAGATCAGAAAGACAACATCTATACAATTTATTTGTATTTTGTTTAACTATATTTTAAAATGCTAGAAATTAGTTTGGGACAAAGATTCGGGCTCGTTTTTTAAACCTTTGTGGTCTGTGTGGTCTTTCAGAATAGAAGAATGTAAAACACATGAAAAAATTGGAGTTTGTTTTTAATAAAAGCCGTACTTGAACTTCAGGGGACTGTAAGCATATTTTCTATTGACCCTCCATGAAACCAAGGTTGTGTTTACTCTGCGCACATATTGAAACCAGTTCTCTCTGGGCGGAATTTTTAAAAAATAATAGATGCATCAGCGTTCGTTTAGTATCCGAGGAGGTTAAAAGCATTAAATTTTGATAATTTTGATAATTCAAATAATAGTTTCCTATGACCAGAATATTTCATTGATTTTGTATGTGAAAGATGGATCCCATGTTAGGCTTCGAAATCCGTCTTGTGTTTACATTACCACAGCACAAAAGATGCGTACACCTCTGAAATAACTTTCCTTTATTTATAACCTTGCATGAAACGATGGCTATGCCTTATTCACAACGGTACCCTTAAAAGATATGTCTGCTATGGTCAATTTTTGTAATTTATTAAACTGATTATTTCTAATCTGTGGTTTCTCTACAAAAGTGACTTGCGTATTTCTACTCAAGGAAGAAATATGAGTCATCAGAATTAAACACTTTTAAACCAAAACGAAACATTGTCTTTCACATTATTTCAAGGATATCCGTTGTAACATGGGCAGTGTCATCGTTGCATAGAGGTACACTTTAAATAAACCTTATACAGTTCATATTTAATATTGAATATTATTATGGTTAAAGCAAATTTCACTAAATCCATTTCTGAATCTTCCATTTTCTATTTCATTTTATGACTCTACTCAAATAACATGTATTCACTATTTTAACCAAAAACATGCTATGTTCTTTAATATTCTAGTATGAATGTATATCTTTCTATCTTATACTGCAGTATGTATATATTATGTTTATACTCGCGGGTTTATATCTTTGCTTCAAACTCTGATTTTCTAATCACTACATCTTTGGAACCAAATGTTGCAGACCTTCGATATTTCAAACTATGAATTCTGTTAGATCAAATAATCTGAGTTTGCAACATCGAGTTCTAAAGATATTGAGGTTTAAATATTTGATTTTGTTCCAAAGTCTCAAATCCTTTGCCAAATTCAATAAAAAATTTCAAATATTATAAATATTAAAGGGGTGACCGGCTATGTAAGGTAGTCGACCTGAGTATGCAGTGTTGTGGAAAACTTCTTACGGATTCATTTGAGACCTTATAAACTTTTTAAAGATCTGTAAATCCTGAGTTTGAGCGCAAATTTGACGTTAAAAACTCCTACTTTGGGGGTAGATACGTTTTCAGAATTAGTTTCTTTTTAATTTTTAAAAAACAACGACGAAAAATAAAGTAAAAATTATACAATACTCTAATTAGATTGTTAGGAACATATTACTCAAAAGAAATTTGTCAATCAATGCTAGAATCAATTATTTCGTTTTCATCATTACATAGAATTTTTTATTCTTTATGAATTTATACGCAGATTTATTCAAATCCTTCAAATGTCGTCTTTTCAATAATAATTAGAGAAAATCTGCAGAAAATCTTTGTGAATAATGGGAAACCAGAATAATGAGAATATAGAAATTAATAATTCAATAAGATTACTTATTTTCGATGATGAAAAATTAATTTTTATTTTCTCAACCTGTTCCTAAAAAACTAATTAGTTTACTGTAGAATATTTTTCCACATTTTATGTCGTTGATATTCAATAATTTTAAAAAAATAATTCTGAAAACGTATCCACCCCCAAAGTAGGAGTTTTGAACGTAGAAGTTGCGCTCAAACTTTTACAGATCTTTAAAAAGTGAATATGTCTCAAATGAATCCGAAAGAAGTTTTCCACAAAAAAAAAGAATAATTAAAAATCAAACTTGTTATACATCCGATATTATAAACACCATGAAAAAAGTTAAGTAGCAAATAATGTCCAGATTTTTCAAAAGTTTCTTTAACAGTTTAGCATAAGCATTTGATGTTAAACTTTTCTTTTTACACTGTGAAGAAAGACTGCAAACATGTTGCACACTGCGAATACGTGAGAGTGAGGGCGTAATTTGAAATGATTTCTGATCAAGTATGAATTATATATACGACTAGCTATAAGGGCCAGGCGTTGCCAATGAAAAAAAAACATTAAACAAACTTTAAAAATTTCAACCAAATATTTATTTTTATTTTATTTATTTACCTTTTGTCATTCCCAGGCTACAAATGACTAAGAGTGTTCCCAAAGAATTTAAGCCCATTCGGGCAAGCCGTTTGGCCGGCTAAAGGAACATATATACACATTTCTTGTTTTATAATATTGATTATCCAATATCCATATATAAATTTTTTGAAAATTATTATTCTTAATTTTGGTTTATCTCCAAAAGTGTTATGGGCATTTCTGCTGCAGGAAAAAAGGAAGAATTCTCAAACTTTTCAATCTAGGAAATTGGCGTTATTTTTAACATTATTTATCAGACAAAGNTAATCAAGAAATCATCCTAATGTCAAACTTTAAACTGTAATCAAGAAATCATCCTAATGTCAAACTTTAAACTGTAATCAAGAAATCATCCTAATGTCAAACTTTAAACTGTAATCAAGAAATCATCCTAATGTCAAACTTTAAACTGTAATCAAGAAATCATCCTAATGTCAAACTTTAAACTGTAATCAAGAAATCATCCTAATGTCAAACTTTAAACTGTAATCAAGAAATCATCCTAATGCTTTAAACTGTAATCAAGAAATCATCCTAATGCTTTAAACTGTAATCAAGAAATCATACTAATGCTTTAAACTGTAATCAAGAAATCATCCTTATGTCAAACATTTGTTATGCTCGGGTAAGGCATGTCAAGGTTACATGAGAATATGTAAATAAAGGAATTAAGTCTTTGCCACAAACCATAAAACTTCCAATCACTATATCATGGCAACCAGATGGTAAAACCCTTTAATTTTTCTAATATAGTATCATTCAATTTTATTGAAATATCTAAGATTTACCAAATTTGGTTGTAAAGAGGTAGAAATTAGAAAGTCAGTGACTTTGTGACAAAGACTTAATTCCTTAGAAAATAAGAAGACTCAACGGACCAAGTTAATATAGTATTATCTAAATTAATGGGTAGTACACTTATCTTAAATTTAGTCATTACAAAAAAGCTTAAAATGTATAAATTTCTACAAGCCAATCATTATCACAAATATAAAAACTATTTCTAACACTGTTCTGACTTCTGTTCAGATTTGATTCATTTATTAATATATTGTTTATGATAATGAACCTTACTGCAGAGAATTTATTCATCGACTGATCAGGCTTACAGTAGTAGTATACAGATATACAGATACAGAGTAATACAAGATATAGCGGAAGTAGGTAGGGTAGGTGTATAGTAGTGGTACACAGATATACAGATACAGAGTAATACAAGATATATCGGAGGTAGGTAGGGTAGGTATATAGTAGTAGTAAACAGATATACAGATACAGAGTAATACAAGATATATCGGAGGTAGGTAGGGTAGGTGTATAGTAGTGGTACACAGATATACAGATACAGAGTAATACAAGATATTAATATTAATATATTAATACAAGATTATGTGCCATCCAGCACATAAGTTCGCCACCTTGTACGTTCCATTCATGTTATGAAAAATATATTAATTACCAATGGATTATTTTCTTGTTAATGTAAAATTTGTTTAAAAGACTGTATTATGAGATCTACGTTGTAAACCGCAATCCTGCGAATTGTTTATCTCCTGCCACTTTAATATGTTAACATGTTATTGTGCAATAAATATTTCTTACTTACTTACTTACTTACAAGATATATCGGAGGTATGTAGGATGGTGTATAGTAGTGGTACACAGATATACAGATACAGAGTAATACAAGATAAAGCGGAGGTAAGTAGGGTAGGCGTACAGTAGTAGTACACAGATATACAGATACAGAGTAATACAAGATATAGCGGAGGTAGGTAGGGTAGGTATATATGGGTAGGTATATAGTATAAAGCTTTTAAGGGCCGTTGTGAATCGGGAATTGCAATCTTTGTCTAAAGGGTCACTTGAAATGACGCTAACAGTCCCTCAAAGGGTACTGTTGCGAATCTGACATGCCATTCTATTATTATAATTATTATAATTGAATAGTCACTTGA